ACGCACCCATGCTCCAGACCCCACTTCGGCAGAACTCCTGGCCATATTTGAGGCCATTACGCTTCTTTGCCATGTCACAAACAACGTTCTCACCCGGACGGACAGTCAGTCGGGCTGCCGTGATTTTCTAAATAATCTGCTCCCTCCTCAGTTCCACACCAAAATCCTCCAACACCTCACCCTGCACCCCTCCCTTCATGTGTCTATCCAATGGATCTCTGGCCACCAAAATATCTAGGGCAACGTACGCGCGCACACGCTCACCCGCGACGAGCCCTCTCCTGGACCCTCGGAGGCTTGGCCAGATCAGTGTGATCCCAGGTTCCATCGCAAAATTCTACATAAAGACAGAACCGCCCTTCTACGGGAACGCAGACAGGCAACGGCAGAATTTCAATTTCCTCCCGCCCCCTTCAGCAGAGAGGACGCCGCCATTATCCGGAGATCTCAGACCCTCCTAACCTCTCACTTTATACATTACATGCAAGGCCGCTTCGAATTCCCCTCATGTCCCCACCGCCAGGACTACCCGACCAATGTACACATGCTATGGCATTTTCCCCACGCCCAATCCTCCTTCACTTCCCTCCTCTCCACTGTCCCACCCACCTCGCGACCCCCCGACTGGGAAATCTGGCTCGCCCTCCCCTCCCCAACTCGTTGGTGCACGCACTACTGCCCCTACTGGTACAGCACGTCCGTGCTGTGTTGTTGGAGCAGTGGTGGCTCGAACCGGGCACCGGACAATGGTGTGAACAATACAGTTTCGTCTCCCTCTCTCTCTCTCGTAAACGACGGGAGAGAATTGGGGAGGAGGACTGACCGTGACGCGCCAAGCGGTTAACTTTAGAACTACACGGATGGGGACAACAAATACAATGACTCAGCGCTCGGCCGACATAACCGAACGCGGCGTCAGCGTTCGGCTGGAGTTTGTCCTCTCCGGTGAGGGGAGGAGGGGCTATTTTGTTTCCACTCCGGCCTGCATGAACAGTGCAACATTCACGTGCCCAGATCAGCACAGAAGCCTAAGTGGGTCAAGCTCGCATTCTCTGACGACTGCTTTCGGGATAAATCCGGCACTTAACGTACTTCGTTGATTGTTAGTATTTTTTACATTACACTGTGCCTCGCGCTCTATTGTAGAAGATGACATGGACATGCCCCTAAGGCCTGCGGGCATGTGCAGAGGCCTTGCGTTGAGTAAACGCCGAGGTGTGGGGAAACAAATAGGTCAGAGGGCCCTCTATAGTTCGATCTCCTGCCCAATAGTATCATTTGTTCTAAACTGATTACAAAAACATGACATAAACCCCGAAACTGCAGTCAAGAAACGTCGTTTTTTACAGCGGAGCTATTAAGGGCTAGGTTCCCCAGGATCGTGTCCGTCCGCACAGAAATGTCGACACAGCACTCTGGTTGCCGCCGTCGCTCATAGATGGCGGTAGCTGTCCAGAGTGCTGTGTTTGCCGGTTGTCTGCTTGCCGCCGTCGCTCATAGATCAAGGCAACCTTTGCAGCCTTCCCGCTCTGGCTTGCCGATTTGCGCACGGCCATTGCTTCATTCCCACAAAAGTACAGCTTCGCTGGTCTTCCTTATTCACCACTGTGGAAGGGCTGAAAGCTTTGCGGAGGCTCTGGGTTTATGTCATGTTCAATCTGAACCAGCTCGTTTGCGCCCTTACATTCACTTCATGATTACAAAAAGTTTGATGGTGTCAAAAGAAATGCTCTCGAAGCTCCCAGCAGCACGAAAGAGACGTGCACTATGCATGTTTTTCGAGACTGCCCGCTTGACCCGCAAGCACGCCTTCCAGTGACGTTCCGAATTTAAAGATCTCAAATAGAGTGCACAAAAGACTAAAGGTAAAAAAAGGCAACCAGTCTTTTTTTATATCCATCCGAGGGATAAAGTATGTGTACGCAGAACGTGTTTCCGCTGGAATCTTGGGGGGTAGTGGCAAAATTCAAAGTTATCTTTTTTCATTTATTTATTTTAGTTATATAGACCAAACCTGAGAGGGAACAGACGAGAGCGCGCTGGGGACGTGGGAGCACCGAGCTCTCGTCTGAACGATCAGTGGGTAGACTCAAAACTAGCCGCCTTCGTCTCTGCTGCCCGATTGAACGCTTTGCCACGCCGAACGGCGGCGTTTGTGTTCTCCACTGCCCCTCTGTCCCCGGCTCTCTACCATTACCCCTTTGGCCGTTCCTGTTGGGATGCGTTCGGAGTTTGATTTTATTCTCAACTAATTACCGCGCTTTCTCAATAATGTTTTCACGAATGACAATCATTGAGGCGACAGATAACTGAAAGAAACTAAGCATTTAATGGGGCGAACTTGTGCCCGAAGCAAAATAGAAGGCTAGCGTCGCAGGCGTCGATGACGGCGTCGATGACGGCGTAACAGCAGGATCGAGCGCTGGGGCGAGACTGACTCCTGCTCGCCACGCGGAGCACTTCTGCACCCACGTGGGTTTCTGGAACATTCGGCGTAGAGCGTTCGGCTCGTAGAACATTCGTAACTCAATCAGACGACAAGGTTCTCGAACTTACGAGAACGCCAAGTTGAAAGAATGAATAAAAGAAGAGTCCGCTCCCTGGAATCGAACCTGGAGACTCCGCGCAACAGCCAAGCACGGTAACCGTACGGCCACGCACGCGATCGCTCGACGACGCGCGTGGCAAGGTATTTTGTACAGATTGTCCTTCGAAGTATGTGTAACACGCTTCGCAACGGTTCCCGAGGCGTTCCGTCGCACTTTCCACGGGGATCCAATCATTTAGACACATTCCGCGTTAAAAGGTGACCGCCGTTTGGCAGCAGCCGCAAAGCACTCTGGGTATTCTTCACTTCCGGTTCGTAGCTAGCAGCCGACGCAGCCCCAGGACGGCTATGGAAGCGTGTGCGAGTGTTGAAACCCGATCAATCCGGGCCACCTTCCTCTGCTGCTGGGTGACTTACGCACTTCTGAACGTCCCAAGTTACTTCTACGGATGTGTTAAGTAGTAGCCGGTACGCAGAAGCATCGAGAACGGCCACAAAAGCGCAGAGCGAGTGCGGCCGGCCGCAAGCTGCACTCGCACCGCGCTTTCTGGGTCTTCGCATGAAAACTCAGGTTAGATGTTTCGTTTTTCTTTTGAGCCAGCGTTTTTCATTTGGGTTCTGTTTATTTTTGATGGTTACGTTAGACCACATCACGACTGAAATAGGTGCGAATGTCAGCCGTAGGACGCGGCTAGCTGAAATGCCCGATCGGAGGTCTGGCGTACTTTTCTCATTTTGTTAGAACACCTGAGACTGGGTAAGAAAATCTTGAAGCAATCAAAAGTTGAAGACAGGGAAAGAAGTCGTTCAGACGGCGTTTCAAACTCAGTTAATATGTTTTCTCGCGCGATTGAAACACCACTTCCGTACACAAGTTAGTTTCGATGACATCTGACTACGTGACAATCCTTGCTTTTTAACACTAAAAATTGGTTTGCTCTGTATGTTTATACAGCTTTAATGGAGATGCGCCTCAACGGGTAATCGGTCTCTTAGGTGTAGATGAGAATTGATAGACGTGCTGCGCTGCGAAGTTCTAGAGAACAAACGCGTGACTAAAAATTGAAATGAAAAGGATGAGTTTACATTGAGATCATCCTTTTCATTTCAATTTTTAGTCATGCGTTTGTTCTGTAGAACTTCGCAGCGCAGCACGTCTATCAATGTACAACCAACTAGCCCAAACCCAAGTCCAAGCTTTATTGTAGATGAGAAATTGAGCCGGTGTAGTGCAACCGCTAACCTGGGGTTTTTAACATGCATCACGCAGTAGTGATCACACGAACGCGTGCCGGTACGAAACTCATCCAGATCGAAACGGGCGGGGGCGGTGGGGAACCGATCCCAGGAGGTTCCCAGCGCAAGCTTTCGCTCCACGCTCCGAGCTGAGACGCGTTAGCCCAATTGGCCACTGCCCCCCCCCCCCCCCCCCCCCCCCCCCCCATGCGTTTTAACACTCACGCGTTTTTGGTACTTCAACTAAGTTTTCCCCCGTGAACTACCACCCCCCCCCCCCCTCGCGTTTTTTTTTAATGATGTCGAGTAAGAAAGCATGCCTGAACGATCACCGATTTTGATATGAGCTACGCAGGGTCGTACTACCGCTTTATTATAAGTCAATATGAAGGTGCTGCCCATTTGCTTTTACTTCTTTATATTACAGCAAGCTGACCTGTTCTTTTGTTTATTTATATCACAGTAAGCCACTCATTCACCGCCGCTTCGCGGGAAGAGTCTGCGGCGGCTCATTACAGAAAAAGTTAATTCGAGCTGTCGATATAAGAATTAAACGGCCTGGGAAAGGCACTGTATGTCGACGAAACGTCATGCCACGAATTGATTGCCTGCGAGATCGCATCCCGCGTTCTCGCGGATGCCTTGTACGACAAGCAGTGCTCACCCCTTCGCGGATTAATCGAGACCTTTTTGGTGGGTGCCAAAAGACTGTTAGAGATCGTTATTTCCCGCGGCCCCTACCTGAAGAGAGAACACGTTGTACTGGCCTGTAACAATATTGGCCGCGCATAAACGGTCACCGACGTTTGTCTGTCACAGGTCACTTCGCTCCATCACTCGCTTAACAGCGACGGCCCATCGTTGCTTCCATGCTTTGTTTCACGGGAACTGGGACATCTTATGCCCTCTATGGCTTGCGTTAGAACAACGTACCGCGGAACTGTGAACCATTTTCACCGCGAATACAGCACGGCTACCACGCCTAGAAGGGCTCTCGATGCAGCTGGAGGAACCACAACCGGCACCGGACGAACCGGAATCGTGAAGTCACGTGGTGCCTCTCTTCAAATGACGAAACTTCCGGCTCAAACGCCGGTCACCTATAGGCTATTGGACGTCCCTCCGCTTCGACAGCGTGGGTAGTCTCGCCGCCCTAAACTCCTCCGCGTGCCGCGCGCGCGAGAGAGAGAGAAAGAGAGGGGGGGGGGGGGCCCACCTGCCCTCTGAGGTGCGGCAGAGCCTCCGATTTCCTTGAGTCGACCGATGCTGAGGTGCCGAATCTCCTTCATGGACAGGCTGAGGTGGTAGTCCCTCTCGATGGTCTGTTTCACCTGGACGGCCATCAGGGAGTCCATGCCCAGCTCCCCCAGGGTCAGGGAAGGGCTCAGGCTCGAGGCGTTCTTGGCACCTGCAGCCAGTAAGCGCCGCCTCAGGTCGCCTCCACGACAATCCCGCCAATCATCCGACGGGACACGATCCCGGAGCCCCACTACACTCTAAGAAAAAATGGAGCAAAAAGGTAGCAACGGCGCGTCTTGCTCCCTTCTACTGACGCGCCCCCAAGCGGACACGAGAAAAAGGGAGGAACGAAACGTTTTTCTCCTTCTCCAGGCAAACGGGGGAAAGCTTTCGCCGTCCCGACTCATCTTCTTTCGGTTTCGTTTTTCGAGTACGTCGAGCACGCTGTTTAATAAATGTTGTTGAGTGGATTGAGCTTCAGCGACAGCGAAGGCCGCCTGTATTTCCGTCTTCTAGTCCAAACATGCAGAACATTTCGGTTGCATTGATGTTTTTATCACTAATTTTATCAAACGAGTAAACGAAGCCGCTAGAAACAGCGAAGTTCCGGAGCAGTGCCAGCAGCGCTACGTACACTGGGAAAGATGGCCGTCTCCGGATTGCGGAACCCACGCGGAACTAGAGTAGCGGAACCACGCGGAACTGTGTCGACGTTTTCGACGTGATGGAAATCGCAGGAACTGCGTCCAAGACCGGCAGGTTTTGCTGCCGGCTGCCTGGGTGCCTTCCGTGCTGAGTTCGGTTCTGTTTTCCGATGCCGAGAGCCAACCGGCAATCAACGTGGCCTTGTATTTCTGCATGTGAGCAATATAGCAGCAACATCGTGATGGCAGGATTGTGCGTTGTGAACAGAAGACTGCAGTTATCGCCGATGTGACCGTGTGTTCGCGTATCAGTGGTCTAACAACAAGATGAGATGACGTAAACTGTTGGGCATTGATGCCACTGGTGGGGCCGTGATCAGAGGGGCGGGGTGTTTCAGGTTGACATTCCGCTTTACATTAAAGAGTTTAAGACGACTTGAGGGATTAGGTGCAATCGGCCGACGTGCGGATAGTCATGTTGGAACGCTGGTCTGTACAATAAGCTCCTATCGTACTGTGGCCAATGTGACTGTCGGTTGTCTCCTCCCCAAAAGCGATTGCGCTCTCAGGAAATGACTGAACAGTACGAAATTATGACGGAAAGTACATATATTTAGTGTGTGGAATTTTAGAATTAAAAAAGAATAGTAGGTAAAATCGAAAGAAAAAGCTACCCTTTATTTTGCTGTTTAAATATACTACAGTTCCTGGAGAAACTGCCCTCCAAGTGGCGCGCTGGGATGAGCACTAGAAGTTTTCGAGCTCGCCGCGGCGTAGCTCCGTACACTTAACACCTGCCGCAAGTCGCGGCTTTGACTGCATTCAAGTTGATCGAAAAGCGATTTCTCTGCTCGCGAAGCATCACTTCCAGCTGAGTGAATATCCGCTCTACAGAGAATAATTCAAGACTGCGATTGAAGCCGTGCGCGAACAGCACAAATAGAAAAGCAAACACTACAATAGAGATACAGGCTACGACATGCCGTGCGAGGAAACCAACTCATGCCTTCGAGCCGCATTGGAGCGGCTTGATTTATTGGCTTTCAAATAATTACGGCATAATCAAGCGCTTACATTTTAAGAAGAGATTCATCCCCTGAGTTATTCAAAATACTCTCAGGGGTATGACATTGCTGGGAAAAAATCAACATGCTGGGAATATTTTTTATTGCTTACGGAGTCACCGAAGGGTTCCGTACGTTAAGAACGACCAGTATAAAAGACGGAAACGCAGAGCGCGGAATAACCATGCTCAGTCAGGGTTTCGAATAACAGATTCGGATTTCTCCTTTTAATGGGCGGGGATTAACCTCGCCCAACCACCCAAAGTATTCGAATGATAGATTCGGAAGCTAGTAAACCCAAGGCATGCAAAGGGACAGACATTTTCAGAAAATGCCATACTTGTAATTTCTACCTTTGCGTTTGGTAAACCACGCGCTAAACCGCGTGGTTCGCTGAGTCAAACACGAGCAAAGAATGTCATTCCGTAGAACTCTGCGGAATGTCCCTTATGCATACAATAGGCTGGACCGCCCCTGTTGAGGGAACGGAATCTATTAATGTTCCCCCCAATCCTTTCGCAACGCTGTGTTGTGTATGCAGCAGAGAGTAACGGAGATATCGGGTTACCGACCCATTGCACTTCGGCTCGGAATACTGGAAAGCTTGGCACTGGTGTGACTGGTGACAGTACTTGGAAATTCGGACACCGCGTGCCGACCCTGATTCGCCCACCCTGGATACTGTGAAGATGTGCTACGGACTTCTGGACAAGACACTTGGACATTTCTAAAGAATCTCCTTCCTTCCTCGGCTCCACTCGCTTTTCTCCCAGCCGCGTTCTGTGGCTCCACGCGCCCCGCTTGTCGGCTTTGGCGAAACCCTCCTCTATTTTCACAATTTTCTCTTCTATCAGCTGTTACCTCCTTCCCCCTCACCCAATCCAACGATGACCGTTCGGCCCTTGGCTGTAACTCCAACGTTGGTTTTTCCTCTTTTGCAAGTCTTCTCTCTCTCTCTCTCGGGTGTAGTGGTCGGGTTAATGTGCCGTTGTTTTGACGTTTGTATGTGCCATGTGTGTGTATGCCCTAAATGTATGTTCACCTGATGCTTGTAGTATTCGTAATGTGTGTACATGTGTGTATAGTAGAGGATCCCGAAGCGCAGCGATAGACTGACAAAATAAAAAAAAATTTTTTTGTAGAACTTGAATTGGGTGGTACCTAGCGCCACCTAGCCTAGCTACTTTCAATTACTCTGGTTGACCCTGCCATCTAATGGCAAGCGATTTAACCTTCTTTCACGCTACATTGGGTACGCGGTAAACAGTAGCTTCGAGTTTGTTCTTTTAAGAGCGCCTTTTGGTTTCGGGGATTGGTTTGCCATTTCTCCGTGATGTGCGGTTGCCGAAAGAATTGTGACTCGAGGAACAGCAAAGGTAAGACGTGAAGTTCGTGAAGTAACTGGGTACCGGTTGTCTCCGTTTAACATCGCAGTGCTGACGACGAGAAGACTGAGTAACTGCTTTCGAAACGCAAGTTTCTGTACCTGCGGGGGGAACCTGGCTTCGGATATAAACACAGTTCGAGGGAAGCTCGTGTTTCGCTTTTATTTGCTGCTCTTTTCGTCCCTTACAAGAGTTGTAGTGTCCTCGTTAAGCGTTATTGAGCTCGATTTGCTCGATTCAGGGCCGCCATAATGAGATGCAGGCGACGGAGGAACTATTTGCTCCCCTGCTTTAGGGACGAAGGTTTCTCCCTTTCTAAAGGAACATAGGTTACAAGACCGTTCCTCCCCTTAGCGAGGACTACCCATAACCTTTTTTCTAAGAGTGTAGAGGAACGCCTGGCTGGTGCACACACTTGCAACTGCTTACGAGCAAGTGGAGAGATGTGCATCTCCGTATACTCCATTTCTTTTTGCGCATCCTGCTTTCTTACATGGCTCGATAAATTTTCGACAATGTTCTAAGCTAGCATTTTTCTATAGATAGTAAGTACATTTCATCTCACAAGACCGGAAAACCTTTCCTCTAGTAAAGTGTAGTTTCAGTATACCCTCACTGATTGCACCAATGTGACAGCGCAGTCTCTCGTAAAATATTGCGAGAGTTAGTAATGCAGTCGGTCTGAAAGGGGACCTGCAATGATATTTGCTTGGAATGTGTTTCAGTTTACACGACCTTACTTGAACTAGGAATACTCATGTATATGCTCGCACGCAACGCCGCTGACCAAGAAACCTCTTTGTTGTGGTGTAATTTCAAGAATCGAGCATTTTCTTTCAATCTCTTCGCAAAACCTCACAACGTAGCTTAGAGGTCGCAGTGTTGTCATAGTCATTTAGTGGCAATATTTGAATGCGGCTCGTAGACTGGACCCGAGCATTGCACAAGCACTCGATTTGGGCTCGCGATATGGACAGCTCGACGAGCGTTGAGGTAGCGGCTCGTGTCGAATCGCTGAAATGGCGACAATAGCCGAACCCCTAACGACGTCTGGCTCTGATAAACATTGGCGGCATATAATCGGCTGCACATCACGTGGCTGCTTGTTCTGGCTGCGAGTTGAGAGATAAAACACTGCTCATGTTTCTCATAATTGTTTTCTTTTTCTACTACCATTGGATGAGGAGAAAAAACTAAGGCCTGTTTCGAAGGTTATAACCGGAAGGAATTAATTCTAAATGACATTTTTGCAAAAAACAAAAATTGTCGCGCCGCTCCTTTATGTAGTCTCAAGTGTTTGAATCAACCTCGGCACCGCCCACGAGGAGCACGAGGGAGGGGACTTACCGAGGATGTGTTCCACGGACTGGACGAGGTCGTGCTTGTCCTTGGCCTTGGCCCCGGAGGATAAGTCAGCCTTGACCAGGCAGGAGATCACGGGGTGGCCCTGGCGCAGGACGCGGTCCAGCACCGTCAGGCACGAGCCGATGCGTTGGGGCACCGTGCCGCCCACCACCACGTCCGCCCCCATCGTCTCCCGCAGGTCGTCCACGTCGCCGATGGCGCCCCACTGGATGGCCAGGCCTGGGGTCACGAAGGAGGTCAGCGGGGGTTGTCCGGTCTCGCGTACAGTTTGCGCGAGTCTCACCTCCAGCTCACTTGATAAATTAAAGTGTTATAGAATACGTGGTCCAACAGTCTCATTCTTGGATTCCTATCTCTCCAATCGCCAGCAGTGTATCAGCATCGACGGGCGATTTTGTTCCTTCAAAGCCGTAACCTGCGGCGTGCCTCAGGGTAGCATACTGGGCCATTTGCTCTTTAACATTTTTATAAACGACATGGTAAAGGTTAGTACTCTTGCGCAGTTGGTAATATATGCCGACGACACCAGCCTTTTTCTGTCGGGCGTAGACGCAGAAAGTTTAATTATTAATGGAACGATATTCTCGCGCAATTTCGCAGATGGTCTGAGGTAAATTGCCTTAAAAGTTTTGTAAACAAAACCAAGGCACTCATATTTTGGTAATTGAATAAGCATGTCTCCTTCATTGAATCCCTTACCTTAGGTGTACAGTAATCGATATAATTAAGCACCACAAAACGATTGGCGTAATTTTCTTTGAACATCTGTCATGGGATCGCCATATTGACAATTTGGTGAGCAGGTTGTGCAGAGTCATTGGCGTTATTAGAAGATGCCGCTGAATATTTTCTGTTAACATTAAACTCATGATTTGTTATGCTCTTTTCCGGTCTCATATAAATTATTGTCACCTCGTGTGGGGCAGAACAACAAGTTCGAATTTAAACAAAATACTGTTCCTTCAAAAAAATATACTACATATCATCGCTGATGTACACTACCTATATCACACTAAACCGTTGTTCGAATAATTCAGGATTTTTGCTATTACAAATATGCACGTTTAACGCCTTTTGAATTCTTTCCCTTTCGGAACAAATGAATTCATTGAATTTCTTTGGCGCACCTCGTACTTGAATAAAAAGAAAATCTCCATCAGTATGCGCTGCTCCGAGCTATGGTACCTTCCTAATTTCCGCACGAATCATGCTTTACAACCCCTTCGCCATATGTTACCTTCACTACTCAACAGGTACCATCTAGATAACTAGATATATACTCTCTGACTGGAGTCGAATTGTATATGTGTTTCATCTAACGCGGATGTCTGTATGACATTTTTCTTTTTCACGCTTTAACATAATATGCTCGCTGCTGAACGTTCCATGCGCTCTCACTTGTTTACTCTGTTTATTGTTACTGAAGTACTATCGGAAACTATATGAGGGCGTGAACGCGCCTCCACGGCGACAAGCGGAGGCGCGTTCACGCGCATACTGTTTCCGATAGTACATGCCTAGTTGGTAAGAGAGACTCTATATGCTGTATAAGAAGGATTTTCAATGTAACACACTTTTCAACCAGATTGCTATGCTTGATTTGCTTTAGGGCCCCAGACCCAGTCGAGTTGCCATATGATAGCTTTTTGTCTGAAGGCCCGCCAGAGTAAATTTCTGGAGATAAAAAATTAATTTAATTTCATTTCATTTCACTAGAGAGTTCCACTGTATCGGTACAAATCTCGAGCTTCTCGCATCTTGCATTAAAACGTAAAAAGCGTGTTGGTAGAGACTCAAAAAAAAAGAAAGAAAAAAGAAACAAGAAATAATAAACAGAACGAGGATAAAAACACTCGTAACCTTTCGTCTCTGCTCTTGTCCCGTTTGTGTTTTTTTTTTCTATGTTTTCTAAGGGCATCTTGCGTCTCAGATATATATAAAAATCGTTCAATGTTCGCCGGGACCACGGAGCAAGATATAGATGTGCGTTTATGGCGCATGTGAACGCCACAAGTGCTAAATGTAGCGCTAACGTGCACTGCAATTGCGTAGATTGTTCTAAAACTTCTGTTGACCCTAGTTTCGTGCCTCGATCAATGGTTACAAGAACAGTGTTTTGAACGCACTGAAGTCGAGAGATCTTTGACGCAGCGCTCGAGCCAGCGTCCTTTGAGGTCGGAACAGATGCACCGAGCAGAAAGTGCATGTACACGAGTGCCATGGCAACAAAACACTCTTACAGCGAAGTTATATATGACTAGTTGGTCAGATTTCTTAGTGTAGGCGTCTTCAAGAAAAAAAAACAACCTTAAGCGATTGAACCGAAAAGTGCATACATCACACATACAACATACAGCACAGAATTGGTTTCAAAAAAGACCAAGCACAAAACAAGCATCCCAACCACACACTGCATGATAAGGCGCTCCGGCTAACAATGCGAAGCACGTAGCGCGTCTCTGCATACGTTTCCCGGTAAAGATTACTGATGCAGTGACGGCAGCTTGTGACAAGCGGAGTGACGTCACTAGCCTTTCATATAAAAAAGAAGAACCCGACACCCGTTTCACCTTACGTACGGAGGCAGCGGACGCTACGAACTATCCTAGCCAATCTTGTTTTGTGAACCTAGCCCGTGATACGCCTTCCGCGCGTCGCTGTGCCCCCTCTCTAATGTCACATGACACTCACACGGCCTCCAATTGGCTCCGATGGCTCGTAACACCCGCTGCGCTTAGACGTAAGGTGAAACAAAGTCTGATTTCATTGTTGTTGCAGCACCGCTATGGTTATGCCGGCACCATGAGAGAACAGCATACGACAAAACAGCACGCGACAGAAGAGCACGGTCAAAACAGCACGCGCAAAAAGAGCACAGCGTCAAAACCGCACGGCAACAAAACAGCACGCGTCAACATAGCACGCGACAAAACAGCACAGCGTCAAAACGTCACAGCGACAGAAGAGCACGTGCCATAATAGCATGCCTCAAAACAACCCAGCGTCAGAACAGCAGAGCGTCAAAACGGCACAGCGACAGAAGAGCACGTGCCAAAACAGCATGGCGTCAAAACAACACAGCGTCAAAACAGCACAGCGTCAAAACGACACAGCGACAGAAGAGCATGTGCCAAAACAGCATGGCGTCAGCACACACAGCGTGAAAACAGCACAGCGTCAAAACTGCACAGCGACAGAAGAGCACGTGCCAAGACAGCATGGCGTCAAAACGGCACAGCAACAGAAGAGCACGTGCCAAAACAGCATGCCATCAAAACAACACAGCGCCAAAACAGCGCAGCGTCAAAACGGCAAAGCGACAGAAGAGCACGTTCCAAAACAGCATGGCGTCAAAACAACACAGCGTCAAAACAGCACATCGTCAAAATGGCACAGTGACAGAAGAGCACGTGCCAAAACAGCATGCCGTCAAAACAACACAGCGTCAAAACAGCACAGCGTCAAAACGGCACAGCGACAGAAGAGCACGTGCCAAAACAGCATGGCGTCAAAACAACACAACGTCAAAGCAGCACAGCGTCAAAACGGCACAGCGACAGAAGAGCACGTGCCAAAACAGCATGGCATCAAAACAACACAGCCTCAAAACAGCAAAACAGCACAACGTCAAAACGACACAGCGACAGAAGAGCACGTGCCAAAACAGCATGGCATCAAAACAACACAGCGTCAAAACAGCACAGCGTCAAAACGGCACAGCGACAGAAGAGCACGTGCCAAAACAGCATGGCGTCAAAACAACACAGCGTCAAAACAGCACAGCGTCAAAACGGCACAGCGACAGAAGAGCACGTGCCAATACAGCATGGCATCAAAACAACACAGCGTCAAAACAGCACGGCGTCAAAACAGCACAGCGACAGAAGAGCACGTGCCAAAGCAGCATGGCGTCAAAACAACACAGCGTCAAAACAGCACAGCGTCAAAACGGCACAGCGACAGAAGAGCACGTGCCAAAACAGCATGGCGTCAAAACAACACAGCGTCAAAACGGCACAGCGACAGAAGAGCACGTGCCAAAACAGCATGGCATCAAAACAACACAGCGTCAAAATAGCACAGCGTCAAAACGGCACAGCGACAGAAGAGCACGTGCCAAAACAGCATGGCGTCAAAACAACACAGCGTCAAAACGGCACAGCGACAGAAGAGCACGTGCCAAAACAGCACGGCATCAAAACAACACAGCGTCAAAATAGCACAGCGTCAAAACGGCACAGCGACAGAAGAGCACGTGCCAAAACAGCATGGCGTCAAAACAACACAGCGTCAAAATAGCACAGCGTCAAAACGACACAGCGACAGAAGAGCACGTGCCAAAACAGCATGGCATCAAAACAACACAGCGTCAAAATAGCACAGCGTCAAAACGGCACAGCGACAGAAGAGCACGTGCCAAAACAGCATGGCATCAAAACAACACAGCGTCAAAACAACACAGCGTCAAAACGGCACAGCGACAGAAGAGCACGTGCCAAAACAGCACGGCATCAAAACAACACAGCGTCAAAATAGCACAGCGTCAAAACGGCACAGCGACAGAAGAGCACGTGCCAAAACAGCATGGCATCAAAACAACACAGCGTCAAAATAGCACAGCGTCAAAACGGCACAGCGACAGAAGAGCACGTGCCAAAACACCATGGCGTCAAAACAACACAGCGTCAAAGCAGCACAGCGTCAAAATGGCACAGCGACAGAAGAGCACGTGCCAAAACAACATGGCATCAAAACAACACAGCCTCAAAACAGCAAAACAGCACAACGTCAAAACGACACAGCGACAGAAGAGCACGTGCCAAAACAGCATGGCATCAAAACAACACAGCGTCAAAACAGCACAGCGTCAAAACGGCACAGCGACAGAAGAGCACGTGCCAAAACAGCATGGCGTCAAAACAACACAGCGTCAAAACAGCACAGCGTCAAAACGGCACAGCGACAGAAGAGCACGTGCCAATACAGCATGGCATCAAAACAACACAGCGTCAAAACAGCACGGCGTCTAAACAGCACAGCGACAGAAGAGCACGTGCCAAAGCAGCATGGCGTCAAAACAACACAGCGTCAAAACAGCACAGCGTCAAAACGGCACAGCGACAGAAGAGCACGTGCCAAAACAGCATGGCGTCAAAACAACACAGCGTCAAAACGGCACAGCGACAGAAGAGCACGTGCCAAAACAGCATGGCATCAAA